ACTGTGTAATTTTCCATAAATGCAGAGATTAAACTCAAGCTATTTGGTGCTGAGAGAGAGAAGCATACAAAGGGTTTGTTGGAGCTTGTAAACAGCTGCCTGCAGCTGCGAAAACAATAAATGGGTCAAATGTGCTGGAAAACTGAAACTGTGACAACAGGCTTCTTATGAACGGAGCCAGATGAGCACATGAATTAGACCTAATTGGTTTAATTCACTTGGTTCCTACCATTGCTGTGGACGGACAAATTGAATCACTGCGTGCAAATCAGTCCCACGAGAGATTTTCTTCACACATTTACACTTTAAAAACAGTGTTAAATAAAAATTAAGGATTTTTTTCAAAATTTTGGATAGTTTTTTTATTTTTATGATTAGCCATGTTTCCATCTAATTGTATTACGAATTTTGAACYTTTAAAATGTTGCAAAAATTAATATGAATTAGGCGTGTTTCCACCTACTTTGGCAGCATGACTGCTCAGTGGTTAGCACTGATGCCTCACAGCAAGAAGGGTTTCATCCCCGGTTTGGACCCGAGGTCTTTCTGGAGTTTGCATGTTCTCCTCATGCTTTTGTTAGTTTTCTCCGGGTGCTCCTGTTTCCCCCACACCCCAAAAGTATGTACAATGGGTTKCCTTCAGGCCCAGGCATCTTTTGAATAAGAGATCTGTAATCTCATTGGGATTTGTCTGGATAAATAACAGTAAATAAATGAATAAATACTTTGGAGTGAATCAACCAGGCTAAATAAGCATAATTTCATCAGACGTTGACGTTACCCATGGTTGTAATAAACAGGAAGTAGAGATTGCAAACTAGCAGGACCACACATTTTGGGCCAACAGAGAGAAGTGTTTCCATCTCCCTTTTTACACATCAACTCTTTTTCAGAAAAATCCAAAAGCCACCTCAAGCGAGCTAAAACTTTTCTTGCAAAATTGAGGATGTTTTTTTTTTCTAACTTTGCCCTTCTCTAATGTGATGCTTAAAAATCTTTGATGGAAACATGGCCATTGATGCTTTGATTTAACTTGGATTTTCCAAGAAATAAACATTAGAAAGCATTCYGAGATATACCTGCCAAATGAGCCAAAAGGTCCAGGAAAGAAACCCAACCATCCCTCTCCCTACCACTGCTCTCCAGCTCCTCCTCTCCAGGAGGCATCAGGTTGTTGAACTACCTTAACTAATTTTGGAGTTTTTCACTGTTTCAAAAGCTGAACCTGGTCACCCAACATAAGTCAGTTTGATTCACTTGTAGCCATGATTTTGTTCTTTCAATCATCATCCAAACAAGTGAGGGTTAAAATGGAAATGGGCCAGTAAATCATGGGAGACTCATACAGTATATACTTATCTGTATCACTGGAGGCAGAGACTCATCCCCAGTTCAGAGGGAGCATTCGACCTTTATTCAGTTGAAAACCATGGCCTCAGACTTAAATCTGATTCTTACCACCACTGTTTTATACTTGGCTATGAACCAATCAGTATGCGGAAAAAGCCAACAGAACTACACTGTCTGCAAAAAGCAGACACAAGACCCGTAGATTTTCTTCTTTGTTCTTCTCTTGACTGTCCYGTCTCTATAACTTCTGTCCATGAACACCTGGAACCGGTTTTGAAGCAAGAGTAGCCCTGGTAGCTTCAGTGCTGAAGCTTCAGAAACCATGTTTGCTTTAGTTGTACCAAGACTAGAAMGGTTTTCAACGAGTGAATGAATAACTGCCACCTTTTTAATATATTMTGATCTTGTTTAGGTTTATTTTATGAATTCTTAATGTTGCAATGTTTTTTTTTAAACTGTATTTTAAACTTTTTTTTAATTTTCATGTTGTGAAAATTCCATCTAGAGACTGGCATTGTAAATTAGCCTTGGCTATAAATCTTTTAGTGTATGGTACTGTTAATATTTGACATACCTCTCTATGCAAATAATRAATGAAATTAAATGAAACTGTGGATGTTACGTTTGTAAGACTTTTCCACATCTGCAATAGACATGTGGACTGGACAATCAAACTCTATTKAACCYCTCCAAAACTTTTCAAAAGTAAAGATCTGCCCCATAGTCCTGTGTTCTGGATCAGTCCTGTCATCCAGGTGGGGTAAAGTGTACTTTCAAATTAAAAACAAGTGGTAAAACTAAAACTATTGCAGGAAGAAAAACTATGTAACATAGGCTCTACAGTTTACTGATTTATACAAGTGCCTATTACTCATAGTGTTGCGTGAAGTACTTCACCATATGCTTAGAATCCATTTRCATAACTTAAATCATTAAACACTATGATATAAAAAATGTATTTTTTTATGTTGGAGCATATGTCAGGTCATATATGGTATAATTAATRAAAAGCATTACTTGTCATTTGAACAAATGTTGCACGTCTATCTCACCAGTTTTTAAGCTTCTCTTACAGTTCCCTCTTTCATTTGAGAATCTGTTCTTTGACATTCCCATCTTGAAACGGCTTCGTTACAGAAACCTTCATGTCTCATTATGTCCTGGCTTGCGTCTTTGGTACGTGCCGCCGAATCGTCGTGACACTGCACGGTCCATCTGCTGTCTTATAATTGATCAAGACCCCCATTAATCTCAATCTCTGTCCTCCCCGAGGAGCGGGGGCTGAGAGAGTTGTCTCCTCGAGGGTGGATCAGGTCTTAATCAGGGCCTTGTTAGGCCATGGCTTAAGCAATGCTGGAGCCTCCCTGCAGGGGGGTGTGGGGGTTATTCTGACYCCTGCTAGTAAAGCTCTAGTCATTAAACTGTAGATTGACTGACTCTGGATAGTTGTGAGTTTGGATAGACTGTAGAGAAGTTTATTTTTTTTTCTTCAGCCATTAACACACAGGAACAACAACTGATAGGAAATTAGACTTGTTTTGCCAAGACTTGAAGGAGATATATCCTGCAAAATCCACTTTTTTAGCTGTAAAATACATTTTGTTGAGCAATTGGAGTCTCTAGGAGTGCCAGTTGAATTTAATTTCTCCTGGTTCTATGTAGATATCTTTATAGTCAYATTTTTCAACTCATTTTCTATGATGTTTTCTGAATTATTACGTCACCGTTTTTATGATGGAACTTCTAAATAAGGTCTGGACTTGCCAACTATAACTTGGTTGTCTTCATTCTCCAACGGCTCCAACATGTAAGGCTGGATGGACAAGCCTTCTGTTGTTGACGTCTTTTAATTCATTTGTAAACTAAACTTTTCTGCGCAGCTATATAGTCGTAAACCTCTCTATCAAGGTGCAACAGCTGGAGGGGGACGGGTTGAGAAGCTCCTCCTTTAGATTATGTATTTTCCAGACACATAGTTACATAGCTACAGTATACTACAATCAAGTGACTGTTACCTTCAGTTGTTCTGAAAATGCTGTATCAAAAATAAGTTTGACTTTGCATCAGTTTATCTAAACGCCTTGAAATCATCTTCTGTCCCTTTAAGAATCTCCTACTGTTTCTGACMCTCCCACATMTGCACKTTTTCAMGCAATAGACGTGTGGACTAGACGGTCAAACTCTAATGAACCCCTCCAAAACTTTTCAAAAGTAAAGATCTGCCCCGTAGTCCTGTGTTGCTTTAGGGGAGGGGTGCTCTGTGGGAGGAAGGAGACTGAGCTTCAGGGAGGAGCTAAGTACAAATAGGCGGAGCTTTGTCCCAGCAGGCGTTTAGGCAGCTGCACGTGGCTACCACAGGAATGAGTCAAAGCAACACTGGGTACGTTTTTGATGAGAAAATGGCACAAAGTAACAAAAGTATTTTTGCATAATACCCCCCATTTAAAGAGACAGACTCAAAATGAGTTGATCTGAGACACGCCTCAGGAAAGGGGCGGGGCTTGTGGAGTTACAGTAAGGAGGAATTTAGACCAAAGCATTGCAGTTCTACTTTATATAGACCCCAACTTAAGGATTTAAATGTTAAAAAGAAGGATTTTAAAAGCAGGATATGTTTACTTTAACCAAAATGTCTGTAACTCCATTATTTCTTGACACAAAATTATCTCTGTTTAAAACTCAACATACAGTGAAAGGTGGCAAATGATGTGCAGTCCTTTTATGATCGTTTGGTCTTTGATTGTTATTAAAATTCAGCCTAAAACATAAAGACCTTATATATTGTATTAATAGAAAACCCAGCGCCAGCTCTGCTGTAGTGGGGTGGGGGTCTGGGGTGTAATGGTAGGTGTGCTGATCTCCTGCTTTAAGTTAGTTAGTGAGAGAGAGGAATATTCTGTCCTCCACGTGAGATGACTTTGAACTCTGTCCCAGCTGAAGCCACAGATCTGTGTCAGTGTCCCATTGTAACGTGGAATGAACACAGCTTCCATGCAAGAAATCTGCTCAGCAACTGTCTGTCGTTAGTGCTGAGATTACAGTTTGTTGGCAAAAACACGTGGCCCTAACAAACGTGGCCTCATGATTCACGTTCACACATTCATTTATCTGCCCTCCTCCCCCCGTGGTGCCAAATGTCTCCTAATCTGACCTCTCTAACGGTGGTATTAATCCTAAAATTAATGTGCAGCACATCACCCAAAGCCTCGCAGTCACTCAGAAGTTCACAGCTAATTGAGAGCTCTGACGATTATCTCTGTTTTTACAACAATGTTGAATCTGGAACAATTCAGAGTTTTGGAAGAACCTTATGAGTTTTAGATAAAACCCACTGAGCTTCGTCATCGTGTCATAAACCTCAGATAATCTAAAATCCCTGCTGTGTTTATTCAAAAGACCAAACTGATGTTAGATTTCTGCATTTTCTTATTAATTTGCAGTTGTTGAGTCACAGTGAATGAATTAAACACTTTGACTGTCGCCGTCTGCTCCTCTTTAAATAAACACGCATCATGAGTTCTGTGTACGTTTCCTGTGATCCGATCTAAATTTGACTCTTTTTTTTTCCCCCATTTAGTTACTAAAGAATGATGAGCTGTGAGAGCGTTTGGATTAATGTTTGGGTTTTGTTGTGTCCCCCGTTCCTTCAGGTTGTTGATCTACGGTCAGTACTGCAGCCACATGGAGAATGCCCAGAAAACACTGGAGGAGCTGTTATTAACACGAGAGGATATAAAGATTAAAGTGGAGGTGAGATCTGTTGAAGAGCAGACCTGCACAAATGATTTCATCACCTCATTTTTAATTGTTCAGCTTTTTTTATAATGGAAATGAGAAAGTTCTTTGGCTGCTTATGGGTTAATCAGAACAAAGGTGGTACAAAGTGTAATCTGCTTTTGGGTCATTTGAAGCCTTTCAAGACAAAATACAAAACACATTTCAACATATTTAATTTTTTGTATATATTTTACTAATTACCATCATTTTAATGAGATCTTAGACAAATATCACAGAAGTTTCAAAGCTGCAGCACATTAGAATTCCATGTGTAGGTAAAAATACTTGTAGCTATATCAACATTATGTC